GCCCTTTCTTCTCTTTCCTTTTGCCGTGTACCCTTTGCTCTTTTGGCGTGGTGCCTTTCGGCCCTCCTACCAAATCATCTTCCTGGACACATTCACCCCCCAATGCGCCATCCACCTCTATTCCTTCCTCCTCATCCTCTCTCAGAAGATGGAACCTATTAGAATTTGCTTCTACACTCTGCGAAACTCCCCTCCCTGCCGTACCAGCAGGTGCATGGTTCTTTCCTTTTCTCTGGGAACCGACTACTTTCCAGCTCTGATCTTCCTGACGTGTGTCCGTGCCCTCCAAATGGTTAGCCCCCGTGCTCATTTCCCGCTCTCCAGCACCCACTCCCTGGGAGTCATCCATGTTCTTCCTCATTATCTGCTCTCTTGCCCAGGCCTTCTCTCTGCCCGCCTGTGCCATCTTTTCCGCCTTACTTAGCTTCTCGGCGTCTTGCCGGTTATAATAAGCTTGAGGACACCAGTAATATGTATGGCCAGCCTCCTCACAGAGATTGCATCGGATGCCCCTTTGGCAGGCGAGCGTGGAGTGCCCTTTGCCACAGCAGCGTGAACACAACTGCGTGGTGCACGTCCTCCTGTAATGTTCATAGGAACCACAATGGTAACACGCGGAAGGTTGCCCGCTGTACCTGGTGATTCCACGTTCTGCTCCCAGAAAGAAATACTTTGGGATCTTCCCTTGCCTGTTATCCTGGCTCTGATTTTTAAAGGACACCACACAACGGTACTCGCCCGTCCAAAAACCCTCCTCATCGATCCTTTTATATGGCCCGTTCAGTATCACAGCATACCTGGAGACCCACCGGGCCACATCCTCCTCTGGGATGGTGGTCGTGCGAAAGATTACAGTCAGGATTCTAGTATCGTCCTTGAAGAGGGGGGTTACCTCGAAACCTTCCAATAAGGAGGGGTTCGCCCTTTGTGCCGCTTTACACTTTGCCCAAAATTTCCAGTAGGCTAGCTCAGAGGCTAGACACACGTCAGTCTCCCTAGACCCCGGTAACTGAATCACAGCCACGACCTGTTCTTTTTCAATCTTTAGGACCTCCCTCATAAGAGTCTTTGTCAGATAGGTCCTGGTGTCTCTGTTGGGGTCAGTTCCGACGTATCGGAAGCGGACCACAAACCTTTTTCTGGGGTCCCTTGTATCTGAAGCAGCCTCGAGGTACTGCGCGATGTGCGCATCCTCCTCTTCCTCAAAGGCCGCTCCAAAGAAAGGGCCTCCCATCCTTCCGGTCTCCGGTTCTCTCTGATTGTTAGCAACACTGGCGTATGTCTTGGGTCTAGGTAGAGTACCTGTGTGTGTTTGTGTGGGTTCCCATTCTGCAGCATTACTCACTCCATCCTGATCCCGTCCATGCAAAATGTTTGTACTTACAGACTCTGTACGCAGCTTTTCCTTCCCACCCCGATTCGGTTCCCTTTGAGCACCCCTGGGCCTAGCCCCCTTGTCCATATCTGACAAAGAGGTCTGTCGCCTTTGCTTTCTCCCGATCGTGGATTCTTCGTCTCTCGATGAAGTTTTCCTCTCACTGAAAGCAGAAACAGAGCCACAAGGCCCAGTATGGTGTTCCACGGTTTTCCCTGCCTCACTCCCCTGCCCTTCCTCACTCACTCCCATCCCTTCCCCAGCAGCAGAACCCATCGCTTGACTCTCCGTTCCCACCCCTCCTTTAGCACCCCTGCCCTCACTTTTGTTTACAGGATTATGTAGTCGTGGCCTCTTATTTTCGGCCTCCCCCATCTCTCCCTCAAGTTCCTGATCCTGCCCCTGTTCCCCCTCCTCCCCCGTATCAATATCTGAGAGATTACCACCCCTCTTTCCTCCCTTTTTCTGAACCTCTCCCCCTTCCCACTCCCTCGGCATTTTCTCTGAGTGTATCACCTCACCAATTAGAGGGGGTGGCACCGAAGCACACCCCCCCAACCTTTGGTCCAGAGCTGTCTCAGCCATCGGGGGAGCCTCCCTCAACCGCGTCACATTCGCTACCGTTTGCATCTCGCTCGGTGGGACTCGTTTGCTCCTCGACGATGGCCTTTCCTCCTGCTGTTGCTTCTTGATCTTCATCCTGTTCTGCAGCATTATGATCATCTGATCCAGCCACTCCTTAAACCTGTCTCGTGTCATCATGCTCGATGTATCATAGAGACGTTCCCAAAAGGGTGGGGTTTGATGTTCTGGAGCCGTGTCCCAGGTCCTTTTTATATCTTGAATGATCCTCACCATATTCTTTTCCTCCAACCACTCCAAGGTCTAGGCTGGATTTTTTGTGGTTTTTGTGGTTTTTGTACCAGCAGCAGCCTGTACACCGCTTGTGCGGCTAGCGATTTAATAGCCGCCTTCTGCTTCTTTGTCTTCGCTTCTGCAACGTGCAAGCCAGCCATCAGACTCCTCAAAATCTGGGATGTTTTGTCGAGGCGTTCCCATACTTTATACTGAGCCAGTTTGCTTAAATCGTTGGTCTTTACCGAGGAGAAGGCCAGATGCGCCACCATATATCCCCACAACTTCAGCATGTCGTTCTCAGCAAACTCTTTGGGGATGATGATGTCACCTACCCGATCGACAGGTGTGTACAGGGTTTCAGTCCAGTTCTGTATGATCGCAAACTCTCTGGTCTTCCATGAGCTATCGTTAGTCTCTGAGATTTCAGAATCCCCCAACATCGACAGGTCTGTCTCCGGGTCCGTATTATAAGCACGGATGTCAAAATCCGAGTCTATCTCATCCTCTGAGGAGTGAGGGCATACTCCCTTCCCTAAACAAAACTCCATGTCGCTGTCCGTTGACGACTCTTCCCCTGAAGAGAGTCCCATCTCCATCTCCTCTTTCCTCCCGTTCTCCTGTTGTGGCAGTGGAGACACCCCCCTCTGGTTCTGTGGTTCAAGGTTGAGACTGGGCGCCTTCCCCGTCTTGAGTCTAGAGGCTGCATCTGTCACCCAAGATAGAGGCTCATCATGGGTTACAGCAGAGGCGTCTTTTCTCTTTGCAGGGAAATCGCTATCCTTTGAATATTCCCCCTTGTTCATCCTTACTGGAGATCTGTCACATTCATTGTCCTTTACTTCAGGCTTAGATGATCTTTGGAGTGATGAAAACTTTCCCTTCCCATATCTTTTCCGTCCCTTAAGTGTTGCACACTGGCTCATTTTCTCCTCTAGCACAGGACCCATCTGTGCCTGTCCAGGACATGCCTGTGTCTCTTCTCCCATTTCTTGAAAAGCCAGGTTTACTTGTGGATGGGAGTAACTGTCCCAGCAAAGAGAACCTCTTCCTTCTAATAATGCTGTCAACATTTTATATTCTTGCTCCAGTGCTACCCTGATAGGCTCTGTCTGTTTCAATTTTTCCTGAAGCTCTTGCACCCCTTCTTCAGTCTCGCTGCATCTAATTTGCATCTCCACCTGCTCTTCGTGCAATACAACTGCCTGCCATCTCTCCTTCAGAGCATCCAGCCGCTTCTGAACATCAGCTTTAAATGTCTCACGCTGCTGCTGGTCTGTGACAGGGACTCCTCTCTCTTGCAGCATGTTCCCTGAGTGCACCCCCATGTCCCCCTTTCTAGGACCAAGAACCCGTTGCTGGGGTCTTTGTAAACATTGCCCCATTCCCAATGAAACAGTAAACGGCATGGCCTGAGGCTGTTGCGAAATTTTCTGCAGCACGTTTCCTTGTTGCTGGGAAAGGGCGTTGCGGGGGGGAGCCCCTTTTTCTGCTTCTATGGGGTTCTCCTTTGCACATTCCTCTCTCTGGGCATGGGGTAAAGATTCTCCACTGTCCACCCCACAGAATTGGCCACTTTGGGTTGTCTGTACACTTTGTTTTAAAGCGGAAAAATCATCCTGATTCTCCTTTAAAGCAACAGAAGGAGCAGAATCTGCCCGGACAAGCCCGGGCTTGTCTTTCAAAGAGCCGATGTCCGAATGCAAGCTGGGGGGGGGGAGTTTCTCCGAGTCTTTTAAGAGAAACTACGGGGTACCCCCGATTCATTCCACCATCCAAGGACTCCCCAGAGTTGAGCCTAAAAACACTGACCTGGCTTTGATCATTTCTCTTCCCACGAGTCCTGGAAGCAGACCTTCTTTGCCGAAGCTCCAACTCGCTGGGAGCAGACATGCTGGGCTTGCTTTGTGGCAGAGGCAGCTGCAAGCCTGGTTCCTCTGCACCCAATTTCTGTCCAAAAGTGGGGTTCCCCAGATGCCCCTCTTGCACCTCTGGGTCCCCCATCCTCTCTCTGACTACCCCAACATTTTGGGGCTCAGCAGTCTCAAAATTTCTACTAAAAGTAGCCGTTTTTGTAGTCCCAATCCAGGAGCTCCTCCAACATGCGACTGCCCCAGGTTAGGGTTAGGGTTAGGAAAACGAGGTGTCCTGGCATGCTTTTGATGGTTGGAATGTGTTTAGAATGGGCAGAAAAGATGAGCTGCGCAGAAAAACGGACTCATGGATATGTTTTTCACAATTGCCGCATTTTGAATGGAAGCTTACCCAGAAAATAGGGGTAGGTATATGCACGAGGATAGGGTTAGGGTTAGAAAAACGAGGTGTCCTGTAATGCTTTTGATAGTTGGAATGTGTTTAGAATGGGCAGAAAAGATGAGCTGCGCGGAAAAATCCATTCAAGTATGGGTTTTGCAAAATTGCCTCTTTGATTGGAAGCTTACCCAGAAATTAGGGTTAGGTACATGCACCAGGTTAGGGTTAGGGTTAGGAAAACGAGGTTTCCTGGCACGATTATGATGGTTGGAAAGTGCGTATAATGGGCAGAAAAATGAGCTGCTCAGAAAAACCGACTCATGGATACGTTTTTCAAAATTGCCGCATTTTGAATGGAAGCTTACCCGGTAATTAGGTTTAGGTATATGCACCAAGTTATGGTTAGGGTTAGAAAAATTGGGGTTCCTGGCATACTTTTGATCGTTGGAATGTGTTTAGAATGGGCAGAAGAGATGAGCTGCGCAGAAAAATCCACTCAAGGGTGGGTTTTCCAAAATTGCAGCATTTTGAATGGAAGCTTACCCAGAAATTAGGGTTATGTATATGCACCAGGTTAGGGTTAGGGTTACCAAAACGAGGTGTCCTGGCATGCTCTTGATGGTTGGAATGTGCTTAGAATTGGCAGAAAAATTGAGCTGCGCAGAAACATCCACTCAAGGATGGTTTTTTCCTAATTGCCGCATTTTGAATGGAAGCTTACCCAGAAATTAGGGTTAGGTATATGCACCAGGTTAGGGTTAGGGTTACCAAAACGAGGTGTCCTGGCATGCTCTTGATGGTTGGAATGTGCTTAGAAATGGCAGAAAAATTGAGCTGCGCAGAAACATCCACTCAAGGATGGTTTTTTCCTAATTGCCGCATTTTGAATGGAAGCTTACCCAGAAATTAGGGTTAGGTATATGCACCAGGTTAGGGTTAGGGTTAGAAAAACGAGGTGTCCTGGCATGCTCTTGATGGTTGGAATGTGTTTAGAATGGGCAGAAAAGGTGAGCTGCGCAGAAAAACTGACTCAAGGGTGGGTTTTCCAAAATTGCGGCATTTTGAAAGGAAGCTTACCCAGAAATTAGGGTTAGGTATATGCACCAGGTTAGGGTTAGGGTTAGCAAAACGAGGTATCCTGGCATGCTCTTGATGGTTGGAATGTGCTTAGAATTGGCAGAAAAATTGAGCAGCGCAGAAACATCCACTCAAGGATGGGTTTCTCAAAATTGCCGCATTTTGAATGGAAGCTTACCCAGAAATTAGGGTTAGGTATATGCACCAGGTTAGGGTTAGGGTTAGGGTTAGCAAAACGAGGTGTCCTGGCATACTTTTTATGGTTGGAATGTGTTTAGAATGGGCAGAAAAGATGAGCTGCGCAGAAATATCCACTCAAGGATGGGATTTTCAAAATTGCCCCCTTTGATTGGAAGCTTCCCCAGACATTAGGGTTAGGTATATGCACCAGGTTAGGGTTAGGGTTAGAAAAACTAGGGTTTCTGGCATACTTTTGATGGTTGGAATGTGTTTAGAATGGGCAGAAAAGATGAGCTGCGCAGAAATATCCACTCAAGGTTGGGTTTTTCAAAATTGCTGCGTTTTGAATGGAAGCTTACCCAGAAATTAGGGTTAGGTATAGGCACCAGGTTAGGGTTAGGGTTAGAAAAACTAGGGTTCCTGGCATACTTTTGATGGTTGAATGTGTTTAGAATGGGCAGAAGTGATGAGCTGCGCAGAAAAATCCACTCAAGGTTGGGTTTTTCAAAATTGCCCTCTTTGATTGGAAGCTTACCCAGAAATTAGGGTTAGGTATAGGCACCAGGTTCGGGTTAGGGTTAGGAAAACGAGGTGTCCTGGCATGCTCTTGATGATTGGAATGTGCTTAAAATGGGCAGAAAAGATGAGCTGCACAGAAAAATCCACTCAAGCATGGTTTTTTCAAAATTGCCGCATTTTCAATGGAAGCTTACCCAGAAATTACGGTAAGGTATATTCACCAGGTTAGGGTTAGGGTTAGAAAAATGAGGTGTCCTGGCATGCTTTTGATGGTTGGAATGTGTTTAGAATTGGCAGAACAGGTGAGCTGCATGGAAAACTCCAGTCAAGGATGGTTTTTTCAAAATCGCCGCATTTTGATTGGAAGCTTACACAGAAATTAGGGTTAGGTATATGCACCAGGTTAGGGTTAGGGTTTGAAAAAAGAGGTGTCCTGCCATGCTCTTGATGGTTGGAATGTGTTTAGAATGGGCAGAAAAGATGAGCTGCGCAGAAATATCCACTCAAGGCTGGGTTTTTCAAAATTGCCCCCTTTTGAATGGAAGCTTGCCCAGAAATTAGGGTTAGGTATATGCATTATTTGTTGGAGTGGACAGGTGGAAAATATCCTGATCTTTTTGAGGCAATTCAAGACATGCAGGAGCATTGTCCATGTTTTCCATGCTGAAGGTTCTAGGTTCAACCCTAACACTCCAGGCAGGGATGAAAATCTCCTTCCCGAAACTCAGACAAGCCATGGTCCCCAACTGCCAACAAGGCTTGCCAAGCATGGTCTGACTCAGTTTAAGACAGATTTCTACGTTGCTAATCACTCCCTGTTCAAACAGATGGAGACAGAAAGCCAATGAAAGGGGATGCCTGTCTGACTACGTTGGGCCTTGGGCAAGTTAGAATCAGTTCAACACAGGGTCACAAGGATGGCGGCCATATTGGCGGCGTGGGGTAATGCCATATGAGATGAGATTGAGGAAGATGGATCTTTTAAGCCTGGGGAGGAGGGGGCTTGAAGCAGATCTGATAGTGACATATAAGGTAGAGTGTCCTGCCTCCTTTCTCCTATGGTAGAGGAAAGGATGTGGTCTAATGGGGCAAAGCTTGAGGAACCAGGTTTCGGGTTAGATGTCTGGAAGCATTCCCTGATGGTGGGGACCGCTGGGATATGGAACGGGCTTCTAAGCGCGGTGTTCAGGTCCTATCAGTGAGAGTGCTCAAGGAAAGCTTGGGCAACCGCTTGCTGGGAATTACATGAGCAGAGCCAGCTAGATCTGGGGGTCAGACCAGATGGCCTGGGATACCCATTGTGACTCACTAGGTGCCTATGTTATATTTTATATTTCTCTGCAGGAGTAGGATTTGGCCTCCTAATACTGGTTTGAGTGCAACCTTGGATATCAGTCCCGCTCCAAATTTGTCTCTGTACCATTCCACATATAGCTTCCTTTCTAGATCAGTACATTGGGCTCATGGAGTTTTTAATTAATAAAAACAATTAATTATTTTAATCATTTCTGACAACCTATACTAACCATCACTGGAAATCATTGGTATACCAAAAATAATAAAATTAAATTACAGGGAGAAAGAGAATGAGAGAGAATGTTAAAAACATTCTCTGGCCTCTCAAAATAAATCTCCAAATACTATCCAGCCAGAATTAAGAACCATAAATTTTCAGATAAGCTTAAACTTGAACAAGCAGCAAGGTTTACAATACAGTTTGACTTTTTCTACATTTTCTGACGGCTTTCTTGGTAAGACACCATCTGGCAAAAGATACATGGTTGTAAAGCCCATTTAATTTTATAAGACAGTTAAACACCTCCTCCAATGCCTCCCGCAGAAATCAAGGAGACGTTTTCACATTGTGTGGTGTGTGCTTTACAAACTGGAGCACCAGCACCATCCAGATGGAGCACCAGCTCCGTGGTTGTTTTGGCTTCCCTGGGACCGGAGGGCTTAAAGGAGGCATGGGCAGACCGCGAGATGCTCAGGTCTTTTTTTATTTTGCACTTGAGCCCCATGCCCAATAAACAGAAATCAAGAGCTGGAGGCAAAATGGTGCTTCAGAGGGCGGAGCTAACTGTGCCCTGTAAGTCCTCACTGTGGAGTTTGGCATACACAAATACAAACCTAGAACTAATTTGTTACAGATCAGGGGTTCTAACAGCCCAAGTCGTAATGGGAACATGTATGTGTGTATTTTGGGAGTGTGCTGGTGGGAAACTTTTTGTAGATATTGTTAAACACACTCCCTTGCTGACCCAGTGATCAAATCTACCTTCTGCTAAGCCTTGGCTTCAATCCATTCAATGCAATGCTGGTAGTCATGCAGTTTCAAATGCTAAGCAGACCAAACTGCCTTGTACCAAATAAAAGTCTTCTCTCACTGATGGAAGTTCTCCAGTGTTTCAAGCAGAGAAGAGTCTTTCCTATCATGTGCCACCTGCATCACTTAACTGGAAAATTGAGGGGGTCAATCCTGAACTTGTTGCATAGAAAATACTTGCTCTTTCTGGAATAACAATCATTATCCACATATTCCAGTTGGGAGTTTATTGTGCTGCAATCCACCATTCAAAGGTATTTTGCAGTGCACTTGAGTCCTAAGAACATAAAAAGAGCTCTGCTGGATCAGACTATGGGTGCATCCAGACCGGCCAGCCGGCTGCCATTGAGAAACAACAAGCAGGGCATTTCACAGCCTAACCAAAGCCAGATTGGGATCATGGGTGGGCTGGATTTGGCCTACAGGTTCTCCATAGGACCATGCCCTCCTTCCCCTTCCTGACTGCTTCCCCTAGCCACCATTCACTTTGTAGTTGACTGGTTTTGAATGTTTCTCCCCTCCTTTTAGAATTCAAAAGGTTGGAATGCTTCTCCTAAGGCTTAGTCCCTTGGAGTGAAAGCTTTAAACTAAAATAGGCTGCTAGTCTTGGAATGTTGGCAGTGTCCATTTTTCCTTTGAATGTTGGCTGTCTATCACTGGAATATGGTCCCAAGAGCATCCTCAAAATCGAATCCACCCTTCTAATCCCCTGCTCTATAGTATATTTTACTACCTGTCCCATTCTGATTGTCTACTCTGCAATGGCAACTTAATATCATGATCTGAAATTCTATTCCGGATTAGCCAACACAGCTCCTCACTTCCATATTCTTTGCTTCAACATGTAGTGACTATGCTTCTTTGAGCTATTTTGAAACTGTATAGATCAAAAATTATTTTACTTTCTGAGTAAAATTTACTTTATGACTTCTTTGAAAGCTTCCATGCCCTGTCTGTCCATGAAACGCTCAACATCACCTACAAGAGTTAAAATAATAACGATAGGATATGTTTTCTTTATTCAGGATGGAGTCCCATGCACACTGTCTTGGGAGCAACTGCAACTGAAAGTTTCAGGGGTTTACTAGCAAAATATGTATAAGATTGCATTCTTAGAAAGTTACAACTTTAAGCATATGTTTAAAACTGAAGAGAAAATAAGGAAAACCAGCAGCCAGTGTAATCTTGATAGTTGTACTGTAGTCATTTTAGATCTTTGAGTGGGTGATGCGTTCCTATTGCACTTGGGGCAGGGAAGTGTTTTAAACATCTTTAGAATCCATTTCACAGTGTTAGTCACCCCGAGAACATGTTGTGGCACATGAAATAAGGAAACGATGTTATTTCAGGTAAAACCAGAAGCGATCACTGTGAAAAAGAGCATTTGCCTGTTACAAGATATCTTGAATGTGACTGCTGGAAAAGGGTAGGAAACAATGGCATGCTTAGAGTTTTTGGGCTTCTCAGCAGCACCCTGAATCGATAAAACTGGTCTGGTGCTGATCCAGTCAGGAAGAGCAATTCAGAGGATCCAATGTTTTCGTTATGGGATGAAGCTTCAAAAGCCGGGTGGTTACCATTCATTGTTGTTGATGCAGAGCCTATGAGAATTAAAGTGTCCTTGTGATGAATGCCCAAAATATAGATTTGCATAACTTTGCCATTAAGAGCCCTATTTGCTGAAATCATTAGTAGCATGGGACATTTCGAGATACAGGAAAAGCTTGGCTCAGGCTTTGCAATTCCTGCTCCTGCAGAGCTGCAGAGACCAAAAGAAGCGATTGGAGATTTCTGCTGCCACCTGCTGGTTGCCACGCATGCAATTTGCTGCTACACATTTCTCAAGCTATATAGAGTGCAATACTTTCAATTGCTGAAATAAGCTGTATTGCAACCCCCTCATGTTTCTTCATCTTCATGCAAAGGACCTCTTCCCATTCACTGCATCCCTAAAATAAACTTCAGGAAGGTCAAAGACATACATTTCCAACCAGAGCTTGGAAAGCAGGGGGAAGTTTACACATAGGCAGAATAACTGCTAGTCACTAGTCCCGGCCCTAGGAGTGTGACCCAGAAGTTGCACATGTATTTGTGGTATGCATGTGAATACTGGTGCCACAGGGATGGGACCGTGGGCATGGTTCTCCCAAGCAGCCACTGCCAGTCCTCCTTGCTGGGCAAGCCAACTTTGTATAGCTT